CCCGTCCCCTGGGACAATGGCCGAGACTCAGCCAGCAGCCACAGCTGGTGGGGTGGGGGGGCATGAGCACGAGGAGGGGTGGAAGGGAGGGGTCCAGGGTGGAGGGACCACCTGGGCCCCCTCCGGCTCTCATCCCGCACCTGGCTTGGGTGCCCTCAGCCGCTTTCCTGCCAAGCTGGGTGGCCTTAAAGGGCAGAGGAAGAGAGGGGAGGGGAGGGGCTCCCTTCCCACAGCCCAGGTCCTAGCCTGCCCTGCAAGGGGCAGCGTCTGGCTCCTGTCCGAGGCAGGTAATAAAGGGCCTAATTAATGAGGAGCATCTGGGCGTGTAGCTCAGCAGGGCAGGGGCGGTACCCCGAGGGGCCCTGTCTTGCCCTGGAGCCCCACAGCATGGCCTCATTGAGGCCCCCCAACCGGCGGCACATTTGCCACTTGGCTCATTCATTCTGTGAAGACATATTGAGCGCCTACTGTGTGCTGGGACGCTTACACCCCAGAGAATCAGAAGAGGGCCACGCTGAGAGCCCAGCTTCCACCCGATACGCTTCTGAGCCTCGGTTTCCCCGTGTGTCAAACGGAGCCAAAGGAAACCATCTACCTCGCAGGGCCACAGTGAAAATCACAGATGAGCCATGTGAAGTGCGTGGTACAGGGCTGTGGGCAGTGGGTGGGCAGGGGCAGACACGCAGAGTGCCCCCAGAGACCTCAGCTAGGCAGGAGAGTAAAGAGACATGAAAACGTGGAATGGAGGCTGCCCCTTGGAGGAATGGGACAGTTAGGGATGGCCTCGTGGAGAAATTTACATTTGAACGAAAACAAAGTAACTAGGAATCTGCTTTTTCTGGGTGTGAACAGTGTGTGCACATGAAGGTCCCAATGGGGGGTGTGGGGGGAGAGCGTTTGTCCCTCGAAGGAAGGAGGTAGGGGCTAGACCACAGAGTGTTGCAGGCTAGGTTGTGGGGGTGGGGCTGGGACAGGGAGAAGGCTTTGGGGTAGGCCGGGGTCTCCCACCGTGGAGGCCCTGGACTGCCAGGTTCATCCCAAGCAAGGGGCAGCTGTTGAAAGGTCGAGTCGGGGAAGACAGAGATGCTGGTTTGTGACCTCGTGGTGCCACTTTCTGGTTGTCCGGCTTTGGGCAGCCTCTGACTGGCCCGCCTTCCCACCTCCCAGGGAGGTCTTGAGGACCAGAGACCTGGGCCCCATGCTCAGCTTGCTACTGGGGAGGGACCCCCAATAGTGTGTCTGGGTGACCCTACCCCTTCCTGGGTTTCTGGGAATTCTTCTCTAGCCTCAGGACTGCCTGGGCTCCCCACCCCGACCCTGTCCTCCCGGTATGGTTGGAAGAAGTCTCCATCCTGCTTCCCAGGGCAGGCTGGGCACCTCTGCCTGGTGGTTGGACCCTTTAGGCCGGATGGCATGAGGAGAAGTTGAGGCAAGCCTCAAGGGCCTCCAACATTCTTCAAGAAGCCCTCCAACCCCCAACTCTCACACTTCTCC